CCTCCTCCTCCTCCTCCTCCTCCCCGCCCCCTCTCGGGCGCGGCCGAACCAGCCCCTGGCAGACCATCCCCTTGCGTGGCGCCGTCTTCCCCTTTCGGGCTTCCCTCCAGCCGCATGCGCACGTCTCGGGGCGGGGCGAGAGGGGGGGGGGCGTCTCGGATGGGGATGCTCTGCTAGAAATCGGCCAGGCCGCCCCTGACCCTCCCCCTCCCTCGGCGCCCCAGCTGGCGCGCCGCTGGGCGGCGGACGAGGACGAGCGGAAGCGAGAGTCACGGCAGGGCCGACAACCACAGCAGGCAACATCGAGCAACAAAAACACGACTGGCCCCCGTGGTGTCGTGTCGTGCCGTACGGTTCGATCTTGCGCGGTCCCTGCTGCCCGACGGCGGGAATCTCTCAAGCTCGGGCCTGGCCCAGGCCACCGCAACCCTCCGCGCGCCCTCGCAGACGCCGCCGCCGACGTCGGCGCGGCGCCGCCCTGCCGGGCCAGAGCTGGTTTGCACCAGCTTTCCGATCTCTGCGCGCCGCTTCTCGGACTGGGCCGATCCGCGGGGGCCCCGGGACCCGACGCGGGTGGCCAGAAGAGGCCCGTCACCGCGCTGTTGGCGGCGCGAGGGGGGATCAGGGGGAGGGGGGAGGCTTCGTAGAAGGAGGCTGCTTCTCAGGAGGCGCCCGACCTTGCATCTACAGACAAGGCCCACGCCTCTTAAGATGCAGGGGTGCTTCTAAGAAGCCTTCCCCCCTCCCCCGAACCAAATCCCCCCTCTGCGCGTGGCTGACACTGTTGCCCCACCGCGCTCGGACATTAGGTCGCGATCCCCCCGCCAAAGCCCTCTCCAGAGCCGGTCCGCGGACCCCTCCCAGGCACCATCCCGACCCGGGAGAAGGACGGCGACGGCGACGGCGACGGCGACGACGACGAGTACAACGAAGACGAGGCCGAGGACGAGAACGACGACAAGGACGACGACGATCACGACGACGACGATCACCACGACGACGACGACGACGACGACGATCACGACGACGATGACGACGACGATCACGACGACGACGACGACGATCACGACGACGACGATGATGACGGCGGCTACAACGACGACAACGACGAAGACCACGACGACAACCACGACGATCACGACGACCACGACGACGACGACGACGACGACGACGACGACGACGAGCACGAGGGCGACGACGACCGCGACGACAGGCGGCCGCCACGGGCCGCGCGGCGCGGCGCCTGCTGCAGGTGCCGCACCTGCGCCTCCAGCTCGGCCACGCCCTGCGCCGACCGCGACGCCTCCTGGGCGCGGCGCGCGCGCCCGTCGCCCCGAGGCCGAGGCCGAGGCCGAGGCCGAGCGCGCGCTCCCCCGGGGCCGCCACAGGCAGGCCTGCCGGGCGCGTTTTGCCGCGCAGGGGCCCACGCCTGCAGGCGGCGAGGCCAGCAGCGCCTCGGGGCGCCACGACTCGTCGGTGCACCGTGGCGCTCCCGGTGCTCGCGCCCGCGCCTCTGCCGTCCTCCTCCTCCTCCTCGGATGCCGCTCCTCCTTCGCCTCCACTCCTCTTTCATCCTCCTCCTCCTCCTCCTCCTCCTACCTCCTCCTCCTCCTCCTCCTCCTCCTCCTCTTCATCCTCCTCCTCCTCACAGTCCTTTCTCTCCCTCCTTCCTCCTTCCTCCTCCTCCTATCCTCCTCCTCCTCCTCCTCCGCCTCCTCCTCCTCCTCCTCCTCCCCCTTCTCCGCTTCCTCCTCCCCGCAAGACGTCTAACAGCACGCGGGCACCCAAATCTCTCACTGGCCCCGTCCCAGCAACGGTTTTCTCGTCACACACAGTTCTTGCTACATGGGTGGATCCTCCGTGCCCTTTTCCTTAACCCAAAAACCGGATACTCACGATCATGCAACCCCTCCTGTCGCACCACCAGACGTGTCGTTAGGGCGGGCAGGGCGTTCCACCTGGACCTCGTTACCGTTTACAACCTAAGCGACAAAACACTGACCGAGGTCGGTTGCGTTACGAAACAGGGCGCTCGCCCTGGCGCCAAGAACGCTTGTCTTGAACAGGTCAAATACCTTCAGGGTGGTTCCTGTTCGGCACGGGGCTGTCGCCTGAAACTTCCTCCTAATGTGATGCGACACACCTGAACATGTGCAACACATGTGTATCAGCTACACGTATGAAGGCCGTCTCCTTTACAACATGAGCCTCTCGCTTCGGACTCCGATTGCTTCACAACCCGCACTCTACGCTGGTGCGTGAGCTTCCCAGGTGGAGAGCGCACGACTTCCAAGCGGGGCTATCGCTGGGCACATCCTGGTGCTGTAGGATCCCACGCAACCGCAATCCTTGTAGCTCGTAAGATGGGGGGGGGCACGCTATTGCAAGGCGGAGTTCCTGCCTGGGGGCAATGGGCTGCTCGTCGTTCAAAGGCGGTCGCTCTGCGCAGCAAGGGGAATCGTGACGGGAAGGTGGACTGCAGCATCGTTGGTACATGTTGGGTTTGCTCTGGTCCTCCTCCTCCCCGTCAACCGCCCGAGGTGGTCACCGTATGTCTCCCGAGGGCCCTGGAGGCGCCCCGAGGCCTCCCCAAAAACATCATAAACCTCGGCCAGCAAACCTCGACCAGCGATTTGTTTTTCCGAAACGGCGACAGTGTGGGTCCTCCTTCCCGAAGTTGAGCTCCAGGCCTGTCGTGGTGCGCCCATGAGTTTATCCCCCATTGATCCCTGTCCTGACACCATTCCCATGTGCCTCCCTCCCCTCCTCTGCCCCTTCTGGTTCCCCTCCTCCGATCACCTGCGCGTCATCCTGAATCCTGCCTGCCTGCTACTCCCTCCTCCCTCATCCCTTCCTCCCTTGTCTCACCTCTCCTCCCTCCTCTCCCTCCTGCGCCCCTTCCTTCTCCTCCCCTCGTCCCTCCGTTCCTCCTATCCTCGCTTCTTCTTCCGCATCCTTTTGAGGCTGAGCAAACAACAGCCACGAAGCTAGTGCGGGCTTCTGTGCAAAAAAGTCAGAGGGTGCGCGACGACAACGGGTAAGCAATGAGATAACCTGAGGGCAGGCTAAGCGGCACAGGAGGTGCGAAGAGAAGCAGACAAGTAGAGAAGCACGAGAGGGCATATAGAGTATTGGATCTGCAGGCGTCGGCATGGCAGCCCCCTCCACACACACGCACACACACACAAACAAACAAACAAACACACCACCAACAACAACAACAACAACAACAACAACAACAACAACAACAACAACAACAACAACAACAACAACGACGACGACAACAGCAACAGCAACGGCAACGGCAACAGCAACAGCAACCACCACAACCACAACAACCACGACAACCACAACAACAACAACAACAACAACAACAATAACAACAACAACAACAACAACAACAACAACAACAACAACAACAACAACAACAACAACAACAGCAGCAACAGCAGCACCAGCAGCAAAAACAACGACAGTCAGAACAACAGCAACAACTACAACAGTAACATCACCACCAACAACAACAACAACAACAACAACCGCAACAGCAACAGCAACAACGACAACAACAATAACAACAACCACAACAACAGCAGCCGCAGCAGCAACAATGACAACAACCACCACAACAACAACAACAACAACAACAACAACAACAACAACAACAACAACAACAACAACAACAACAACCACAGCAACAACAACACCCCAAAAAACGTCCCTCAAATATCACCCCGTATCGTGGCAGTGGTGGCGCCTGCGGAGGCGCGCCAGTGCAGGGCAGATGATAGAATGCCATAAATGTGCATCGAAGATGATGGGGTCGGGCAACGCGGCCCTGGCATCGGTCAAGCATGTGCCGACGTAACGATGCCCGTGACAATTGCCCACGCCGAGCGTCAGGTGAAAGTAACATCCAACCTCCTCCTCCTGCTCCCCCTCCTCCTCCTCCTCCTCCTCCTCCTCTCCTCCTCATACTCCTCCTCCTCCTCCTCCTCGCATCCTCCCATCCCCAAGCTGCCCTTTCCCTCGTGGGCCAGTGCCATCGCCAAAGGCCTCTTACAGGAAGGCTGCCCTCGACGAGGGTCTCTTTCCATGAAGGCTGCCCTCACCGAGGGCCGTGTTGGTAACAACTCCTCTTCCCCTGCTACCGAATCAAAAACCATTCCTCCGTCCAATCGCCCTCGCCGAATGCCCTGGTGGACAACGCGCTCGCAGCGTTCGACTCGCTCGGTATGTTGCTGTCCACGGGGGGACGGTCAGCGCTGGAGGTGCAACTTGAATGTACACCCTGACGGCCAGCTGGAAATGGCAAAATCTGCCCTCGCCGAGGGCCTTGCTGGTGCACCTCCTCCACCTCCAACATCAGGATCCACACTTCACACTGCACACCGCCAACCACTCGTCCGCAAGTGCGCGCACCAAACTGTCAGTCACACCAGTGAAGGATTATTTCTCATCGTTCTGAGTGCGACGATGAGAAAGATACAAGGAACACTCTCCACTCGTTGCGGCGACATTCTGGACAAAAAACTGAACTGTACGAGCCTCTATATTCGCCCCGTTTGGAATCAGACGTGCCCGATGTTTGACGCGCCTACGGGATGGCTACCTCACGACTGAAGGACGGCCAACGCCCCGGAGCAACGGTTCCCTGATGCCCAGAACCGCCATCCTCCACAAACTATCCCTCTTAACCTCCATCAGACGTACCTCCTCCTCCTCCATCCTTCTGCCCTCGCCGAGGGTCCGTGGGTCAAAACAAATCAGCATGATGCTTGCGGGTGTACAGTTGGAGGAAGCCCAGCGGCAACAAGGCCTACAAGGAGGGAGAAAGAGGGAAAGAGAGCGAGAGAGAGAGAGAGAGAGAAGACAAGGCGGAAGAAGAGGGAAACGACCGCACTATCGAGGATTATACTAGATGTGCGAGCGCCTTGCTGATGTGAAGGCTGTCCGTCCGGTAGGCGCGGGCAGCGCGGATTGCAACGAGCAGCTGACCGAAGCCTCCGCCTCCTCCTCCTCCTCCTCTTCCTCCTCCTCGTCCTTTTCCTCGTCCTCCACCCACTCCTCTCATTGCAACCCCCACCGCCACCAAATTCAAGCTGGTTGCCTTCGCCTGGGGGCAATTTTCAACGCTAGCCACTGGAAAAGTGCGCCTCGCGGGCTGATTTGGGCGATGGTGGTGATGATGAATAAGAAGATGATGGTAATCATCGTGATGGAAACGACCATAGGGTGACGGGATACTCCAGATTTCGTAATAAAAGGGAGGGGGTCTGGACCCTCCAAGACAAGCCATTTCAGACCCCCCCCGTGGGAGAACCCTCCAAAACATCGTCCCCAGACCCCCCAGGCCCTCCAAGATAGCCTGGAAGAGACCCCCCCCGAAATGAGACCCCCCTCCCTTTATTACGAAATCTGGAGTAACCAAACACCAGGTGTAACGCATGATTGCTTCGAACCAGAAATGTCCCACACTCGCAGTGCCTCGTGCGTGCCTCCTGGAGCGAACAGTTGGCCCCCGACTCTGAGAGGCCGCTGCACTGAAAAGTCGTTGTGCGAAGAATTGCAGCAAGATCCTCTCAACTGTGCTTGAACGAAGGATTGCAAAAAAAAGAAGGATTGCAAAACGAAGGATTGCAAAAAGAAGGGTGTTTTGCGATCCTTCGTCTGACCATCATACCAACTGTTTCATCATTTGGTAGAGGATGTGGCAGTGGATCCTGGTCTCTTTTGCGCGGGGGGGGGGGGCGCAGAGATGACGGCAGGTTTGTGCCGATGTAGTCGAGGAGGAAGCAGCAAGCCTGTCTGTCCAAATGTTGTACCACCGGTTTTGATGTACCCACGTTTGGCCGTATCTCCCCTTTTGATAAATCCCGTGCAGATATATCTTCGTTAGGTGACTTCACTGTAGGCGTATCCAAAAGCTCAATGCGACCGTGAGGGGCAAAACCGGCAATGTATTCCATACCTGCGCAACTGAACCACCTTAGACCTTTTGTGAGTTCGATCCTCTCACCGAGTCTGTCAATCGGACATCACCCACAGTGTGTAAAGTGAACGTAGTTCTGCCCATTGCGACCTCTCCGCCGCATCCCGTATGCTAGGCCGCGGCATCTGGGAGCCCATTCTGGGGTGTCGTCTGGACAGGTCTTCTTATAAATTGAATTACCATGTTGAGTGCCATTAGTCTCATGGTTGTCACTTTTGATCCTTGGTGTCAATGTTTCCTATCACCTCGTTTGCATCAGCCTTGTTGAACAGCTGAAATGACTTCGTCAATTTCGTCACATTTTTGGCACGGCAAATATGAGGGAGGTGACGATGGAAGCAAAATAGAGATTGTAAAATATTGTGTGTCCAACTGTTCGTCGGAAGCCGAGGTTGGAATGAAAGCCGGAGCTGATGGTGTCCTTTGCTACCTATGTGGATGCCTGCTTCCTTCTTCCTCCTTCCTTCCTCATCCCCGTGTTCCGTTTCCTCCTCCTCATTCCTTCTTCTTCCGCCTCCTCCTCCTCTCGTCTTCCTCCTCCCCCTGGTAATCCGTCTCCCA